GTAGTAGTAGTAGTAGTAGTAGTAGTAGTAGTAGTAGTAGTAGTAGTAGTAGTAGTAGTAAGTTATTTTAGTTTACTGTGAAGTGGAAAATGTGATAACAACATAGTATTTCTAAAGCAATAAAAACCGCTCACTATACTTAATAGCCCCTGGTAAAAAAGGGAACTCACCGGTTGTTCGATTCCACATGCCCATACCAGCGGCCGCAGCCGCCGCCGCGCCGATTGCCGCGGGATTATTAATCCCTCGTGTCATCAGTGCGGCTTGTGTGACCAGTCCGGGTGGTTCGGTGAACGGGTACACGTGCGGTGGTCCGGAAGAATTGTTCAGTGCAGGATTCGGGAGTAGTGTGTCAGAGTTGCTCTCCATTCCAACAAATCTGGGATCTCTGGAAAGGGACGATTCAAAAAAATGTGCGGAATCGAACCCGGGGTGCGGCAGACCGACGAGAAGATTGGACGACAACGATTGTGTCACATTTCCCATAGGCGGTGGTTTGAGATATGCCCCGGCAGTTGCTGCAGCCGCAATTGCGGCCAGAAATTGATCCGATCGTGTCAGATCATTTTTTGTTCCTACCATAGAATTCCCCTCATCTTTGTAACTTGGTAGTCCAGGCAACGGACAGTTGGATGATACCGAACTCAAATTCAGAGATGGATCCGTACATCCGGGAAACAGCCCTAACCAGTACAGGCTGGATAGGGCCCCTCCGATTGAGGTGCCACTGTCATTGCCCAGATCGGAGTGAGTTGTACTTACAGCGTTATTCATCACACTGGTGACAAATGTTCCGCTCCCGCACTGGTTTGATCCGGGCAATGCATTCGACGTCGTTTGTTGGGGGTGGTTTTGTCCTGGTGTTGACGCCGCCAGATGTGGCGATGGACCAAATGTTGCTGAGGATGTTATAGTGGTAGTAACAGCAGCAGTGTTTGGACTGTTTGTGGTACCCAATCCAACAGGGGCTGTATTGGCCGATTGATGAATTGCGTCAAACCAAGCAGCGTAGAATTTCATCAACATTAGGTTTTGCTGATTCGGGTTTGTATTACCATTGTTCGTATCAGTGGTATCGTTATCATTATCACACCGTGGATACCCCTCTTCCGCACCATTATTCATGTGATCCCCTAGCGGACTTTCAACTTGTCGGTTCGTTTGGGCAAGATCGAGTTCTGATGTGTGGCTAGGCGAGTCAGTGGGATTGAGGATTACGCGTTTTTTACATTTCTCGTTCAATCCATCACCCAAAATATCACGAATTCCATAAGAGGCTTTACGTTTTGTTCCCATTTCATCTGCGTTCGTGCAGCTCACCGGAAAAATTCCATTGGTTAACTGTAATCGGGACGGGGTTAATGTGGGCTTTGGGGCTGATTCGGTTGTTGAGACCACGGTCACGTTGTTACCGTTGTTGGATGTGGTGATGTTAGTGACAGATCCAACTGTGATCGCGCGGCTGGCCGAGTAGTTCTCTCGGGCTCCATTCAAATTCAGAATTGACTCAGTCAACGAATCGTCCCGTACTGATTCGGGGATAAAATCCATGCCACTGGTCCATCGATGTGGAACGCTGGATTTCATCTCGTGGGACACTTCTCGATCAGGGACAGTTAGCATACCGTTCAGTGTATCCGTACCCATCGATGGCTCCGACTCGTTCGATCCTGGTCGAGTTCTTTCCGCGGGTAAACTACTCATCTCGGATTTCCACAGTGGATAGGACGGACTGGAGATTCGACTGGCGTTGGTGAACACACGAGTGGATGTCTGAGGATGATGACGGCGTGTGAAAAATTTTCCCGTGTCTGTCGGCCCACTGCAGGAGATCGCAGTCATTGTGGGACAGTGTGAACTATCTTCATCCATTGTTGTTGGTGTTTCGTTGACACACTGTAATGTAGTGTTGCCGGATTCAAATGTGCAGTTCACGTGTGGTGAGGCTGAGATAAACGAGTGTGAAGATTTGTCAACAGAGTGTATCATCATGTACCGGTTACGTCTAGTCCGAAGTTTGGGGAGGGGGAGTTAAGGGATAGAAGAGCCAATCCGGTTTCACGTTAAATGTTGTCCGATGCCCGTGCGGTAACTGGTACACGGCTGGACTAAGGGTGGTGGTTAATGCTAGTAGCAATGGTTGGTTAATGGGAACAAATTATTCACACATTCGCAGAAGCCCCCCCCCTCTGCGCTTCTTATGACGAAAGCCTTCGACATGCAACAAGTCTATTGGCTCGCCAGTAAAGGTCTGTGTCGATGCGTGCGTGTGTGTGTGTGTTAAGGAGATAGATGAGAGACAGATGAAGCAGACATTGCTATAACCGTGCCGCACATTGTCGTGTGACGTTTGTCTGTCCAGAGAGCAACGCGTTTTAGGTGCGTGCATGTCACCATGTGTGGGTGTGTGTGTGTGTGAACGACAATCTAGTCCTATGTGTGTGTGTATATTCAGATGATAAAGTCGGATGAAGTGGTTTCGGCGAGAGTGAGGAGCAGTGCAAGTGTAGTGAAGTGGGGTCAAATGTTTCGGAGGGGGATGAAGAAGAAAATTCACAGCTGTCTCCCATCTATCTCGGGAACACCGAAAAAAACAAGGAGCAGATAATAGATGGATAGACACACAAGCACAAGCACGTCTACACGTGCACACACATTAGGATAGAGCTTTAGCGTTTTTGTTCGAAAAAACGCAAACAAGCATTCTCACTCCCATACACATACACATGTATGCTTATGGGCGTACGTGTGTGCGTACTTAAGTGCGTGTGCTTTCGGGCGAATGCACACACGCACGCACCGAATACAATGATCGTGCATGATCCGCCAGCCAATTAAAACCTTCTCGCCCCGTTTGTCTCGTCAAATGAGCTTTATTCTCACCATGCAGATGAGGGGGTGGCCGGAGGACGGGGCAGGGGGGATTTTGGAGGAACTATATTCCTTTTTTCTTTATGACAAGCGAAGTAATCGGGGTTATATAACATGGTATTTGGCGAGACTGCTTTTCTTTCACACTCCGATTCTCACATAAACCTACAAATCAATCCAGATTCTTCGATTCGTTGGAAAAAAGTTTTTCCGTTGCGCAACCTTGACGTTTCCGCTCGTTCAACCTCGCCCTCTCAACCCTAATGGATGCATACGAAAAAGCACAAGTCAGTGTTTAGTGGGGGCCACTGTATGCAATATCTGACACGAGATCAATCGGTTGATCTAGCCCAGGCAGCCTAGAGCTAGCGACTAAGAATGTGGATACCGTATGCTTCGGTGCGAGCCTTCACTAACTGCGATAGATTTGAGTTGCACTGTGGCTCCGGAGGACTTTAGTAGTACCATTTTGACATTATATGGCGAATGAGTCTATCATTCAGATTCCTGTATATATCCGACTGGAGTTTAACAATCGAACAGGTGCTACCTGTACAGTGTCTTGTACATTCGATCGGTTCCATTTCACCTTGTCTTTTTGCTCTGATCTGTGACCGCTCACAAGTAAATTCCTTTCTGACCACTGGTGCGCACTGATTAGACCGGTTTACGCGTGTCGTGCAAAACTGTACCCTCACTCTGTCACGAGACTGCCTGATTACCGGCTCATAGTGTTTACAGTACTCTTGATGTTACCTGTTGTCCAGCAGCCTGATGGTGGGCATTCTGTTGATTCAAGATACTCTGCGCAGTATCGGTTCTCGCTCATGATGGCTGGGCGATCGTCAAGATCCTCGTTCGAGCTGACTCATCCGATCGATCAATGGAAGAACCCGATCGATCCTTAGTGCTCGTAGGACACGTAGTGGAGAACAGTTAAATATATATATATATATCTACATTTATTCATATTTTATTTTGCACACAGACATTCATTCAACATCAGCTTGGGTCTTAAATTACTGACTAATCGAATCATGCATATATGTAAATGCCTGAAAAGGAATTTCTTCGCGTTTCCACTTTGTTCATTATTTTTTTCTTCTTTCAGAATTTAAATCACAGGTGATCTGTTCTCGCTGAGTTCATTCACATTCCGCGCGTTATTGACACTGAGTGCAAATCAACCAGTAGCCTCAAGATATTGAGATTACCTGTGCAAGTTCATCCACGATATGGAAAATATACGGCCGAATGAGAGAGAGAGAGAGAGAGTTAAAAGCTCAACTTTCACAGTCATCCAGTTCCCCACCCCCACCCCGTTCCAGCATCGATCAGTAGAATCACAACGCGCAAGTCACTTGGGTAGGAATTTCCACTGAATTATGTGCAACTGTCTTTCAGTGAATGCTATGGAAGTTAGACTTGCTACTGTGTTGTGGCAGTCTTGTGCTAGGAACTGAACACCACAGGGTTCTTTTCATGTTATGTACAATAGGACTCAAGAAAGCACTGAGGACCAATTGGGTTCTTCCACCAATCAATCAGATCATTGAAGATCGTAACGTGTTTCCAGCTCGCATGAGTGAGAGCGAATATATGTCAACCGTCTCGAGTTTTTAGAATAACACAGCTGAGAAAACGGTAACAACAAGAGTATAACGAATACTACTAGCCGATGATCAGACAGTCTCGCGTAAAATCATTCAATCGACGGGGAATGAAAAATACATCGGTGTTCGGTCATGGCTGAAAACAAAAGGCGATGTGAACGGATGGTGGGGAAGAATATCGAAGTGGCTTGTTATAATAATGGTGACAATTATAATTGTTATTATAATAATAATTATAATTGTGCACTGATGATTACTGTGAGGTGGATACATTGGTATAGGATGAAAAAAAGAAAATTACGCTGGGTGTATACACCATTTTGATGCACTTATCTCTTTGTGGAAGTCCGTGTCTCTCGCAGAGTCAGAATATTATCAACAAGGAAAACTTTCAGTGTTTTGTTTAAATTGTGACTCAATACATAGCACACATCTTTCTATCACAGGATGTCACAGATTCGGAAGTGTACTGCTATCCAATAATTAGATCTCATTTCTTGTGCATATTCTAACACTGATTGTCTCTTTTTGTCTCTTATACATTGATTACTGATTATCAATCAGGTGTTGTCTCCCGGCTTATCATTCAANTTCAATTGATCATACGGGCTAATGTATCACGATTTAGTGGACCAAAACGCAGCGGATCGTCATTTACGCCCGGATCGTTTCGATACTAAACCAAACTCGCCAAACAGCACCTGGCGAAAATTGGTCATATGCGCGTACAAAGTTTTTGGGATTGGTGGAAGAATATAAACCCGGAAAAACTCAAAACACTCCAGTATTTGTTGTTCCCTAGTGTTTGACAATTCGTTTATTGATGTGCTAACTATGATTCTGCCTTTAACACTCTTCCATACCGAAATAGTGACTGACCATAGACGAATTTTTTTTGTAGCATCTTCCCACAACAGAACACACTTACAGCCATTGATTACTTCATGCAAAAGCTGAGAAATCTTTGCTCGAAACTGTAATCGTAAAGCGATCGGTGTCGAACAAAACGAAGATAAATAGGTCATCTGTGATGCACGTGCATCAGTGGACCACTATCACACCCTATCCATTGCGGCTTCTCGAGAATAAAACACTTGACCGAGCTAAAACTCTCGATTGAACTCAGCAAGAGCAGTTGTCCAAACCACTCTGTCGAGCTACACGGTCATTGCAATAGATAGGCGGAGCGCTTTCGATAAGGTACCTGATAAAATTCCCGAAGTGACACTGACTGCATCACTAGCAAGCTGTTTGCTTTTGTGGTTGTGATCGCAATCCTCCTTAGAAATGGTCTGCGAAAGAGGCAACTTAAAACTTGTGTGGCAAACCGTGATACCTGTCGCTCTGCCGGGCTTCTCGGAATACGAAGCATACAGTAAATACCTCACCACTCCTTGATTCCTCCGTCATCACAGTCACAGCCCCAGATTGTTATTGAGTTAACAGTCAACGGATTAGCACTACAGGCCCTGGTAGACACAGAGGGGTTCAGAAAGGTGTGTACTTATGGAGATTGATCACCGAAACAAATGGTCAGCATTGAAATCCAATAACAAGGTTGTCCTGGCTTTTACCCGGATGACGAGCGACACCAAAGGTCACTGTTTTTATCTCACTACTGGACAAAGGTACTCGGTACGAAAATATCGAGCTGTGCGTTCTCCTTGATTAATGTGCTGGGAGCATGTTTATTACAACGGTACACGTCAGTGGCAATACCCTTCCAAGAAATTCAGCCACCATTAGCACTTTGTGGTTTCCCTTTCACTAGCCATTTAGCCCCTCTTAATTTTCCCGCATCTGGATGTCTCTGGGCCCCCTGACTGCACAGAATCAAGAGGACACCGGTACAACTTTGAAATTTTTATTCTTTCATAGGTCGTTATGCTATCGAATGATGGAATAATTAACCCCCCTCCTCCAAAATGGCCGTCCCAGCTCCTGGTTACCGCCGCTGAACGCCAGAAACGACGGATAATGATCGATTATAGTCAAACAATGAATCCATTCACCCATTTGGATTCTCATTCGGTACCCTATGCAGATGGTTAGTGGAGAACTGGCTCAATTAACCATTTACAGAATCTTAGACTCAGAGTGCCAGTCGTCAAATTAAAAATGAGCGACACTATACGAATTTCGACGCATCCAGCAGCCTCGGACAATTTCATTAAATACCTTTTGGGGTCACAAACAGTGTAGTCTGTTGTCAGTGCTTGATAAATGAAGGGTTTGAGGGAACGTCATCAGGTAATTACTGTTTACTATCAACGCGACTCCTCACGAACATCTCGTTCTTCGTAATTGAAAATCTTCGGTCTGCGAAAGCTCACATCAATGGTTATTAACGACTATCCCAGTGCTGTGTCGAAAGGACATCCGCCTATCCAAATGTGACTGCATGATAGGGGAACATGAACTGTTAGAGAGCAACCTCAAGTACAAGCACATACGCCTCCCTAATGAACTAGAAGAAACACTATCTCTACCATTTTCTATTTTCTTGAACTTTAATCTTTATTTTCCAAGCGACGGTGAATGTCACAGATTTACTACTATACTTCTGTTTCACAATTGGCTCGGATATCTTGTGCATATGCTAGCACTTTGCTTGTCTCCTTTTAGCTGTTTTACCTCATTTTTGGATGATTAAATTCTACTAATTAGGTGTTATCCTCTGGCTTATCGTTTGATTAATGATACAATTTTCTATAGTACATATGAATAGCGTGTTGTACAATAATTTTTATACCTTTAAATATACTGTGAAATGGTGATGGGGGGAACACAACTTGTTGGTTCTGTACGGTAAAATAGAGAAGGTTTTTAAAGTTACCCCAACAGTTGTGGCCAGGTCTCTTGAGCGAACGAGAGTGAAAGGGGGACTAAATCAACATGCTCGGCAAAGCAAAATCCGTGACTGCAAGGCAGGAAACATATCGATGGACAAGTGGTTGAAGGCCATATGTGAAGGACCAATCGGCGACAGTGCGGTCCAAAACTGTCAGAGGAGAAGAGATCCCATGTCAGAGTGGGGCGAATTCGGACCAGGTAAAGAAGTTGAGAGGGAATAATGTGTTCAGTAAATTTGCAACTGTTCCGAGTGAGGACCTTGTGTCCACAAAGCTTTTTTAATTTGGTCATGGCGACTGTTTCATTTTGTGTCAAGACCATATTGTTAATTTAATGATTCACCCCTGTGACTAAACATGAATTACGTTTTAAACGATCATTTGGTATGACCTAATTGAGCAGTAGTAACCTCAATGAAATCGATCAGTGCTATTTCAACAATGTCACTTAGATATGTAACACACTGAAGCCGTATGACTAATGAACTACTGAAGGTGGGTTTAAACTTCCCAATTGGTTCCGGTCATTTGGAGAAAAGTTTTGTAATTCAGCTTGGGCTGTTTGAAATGGGAAGGTAATTTGTGAGTATAGTTTTCGCATTCCTTGGACGAAGCACCGTGTTCAACAGTGGGATGGACAGTGAACAAGTTTCAATGGAACTAGTGTCACGTAACGGTTGATGGAGAGTATCGGAAAGCTATTTCATGCCTCTGTGGACACATTAGCAGTGCGTGCTGCATTTGTATCCCATTTGGGATTAGAAACGCGAGCCCTGAAAGAGTGGGACCGAAAACCTTGTAGCTGAACTAAACTTTCAACAACTTTAATGCAGGTCTTTATAAATCAAACAGTATCCTTAAAGTGCATTTCAATGCGATGGAAATGTTTGTAATAACCAGCAAAGAGCACTGGACAGTTGTTCCGTCCAGTGCGTACTTTTTGTGTCCCTGTCCCAGGGAGTAAAACTCACAACCGACATCATCAACAGTGCATGGTGCCTGTCAAAAACCGAATGGGCTAACCCAAACATTCACCATCTGAGTATCTTTTATCGTAAATTCACAGGTGTCAGTGTTCCATTTTCTATTGAGACTGTTTTTATGCAATTATATCACTGATTACTGTCGCCCTTCAGAGATAAAGCAATACCTCTTTGGATTCTTCAGGAATGGGTAGTGTAGGACGGAGGTGTTACTAGTTATCTACCGCTTTCGGGCGATGATGTTCGATCGCTGAAGGTGAACACCAGTCAGACCTCGAGATCGCTTCTTCGAGTCCAAAACATTACCTAGTGTCTGTAAAAGCGAATGTACTGTACTGTAGTCGGTAACTTAAAGGTCAGTGCTTTGTCTACCCAATCGAAGGCTAGAGGTCTGAGTTCCGACAGGGACGTTGAACTGGTGTATATTGTCACTGAGTCCTAACTTGATTGAAGCAATTGTTCAACGCAATCTGTCGAGCTTCCTACCAAAGTTAAATGGTGAACCTAAATGTAATCGCATGATTCAAGTTCTAAACCAAGTAGCTCCCTAATGCTGCCCTGAATAATATTAAATATCTACCAAGATCTGATCAAAGTGATGTTGAGGGAGTTCGAACCTAAAGCCCTCTGGACAAGTGTTACTCTCAACAAGTGAGGCCACTCGAACACAGCTGACACAAAATCATCTCTCTGCAGTTATAATAATGCTCCCATTCCTAACCGGCACAGCAAAACATTGTAAGAACTTTGCACTCGTTCTTGAATAATGGACTATTTTCCCCTCCATCGAAATGTAATGAATGCACGTTTTTTTGTCCATATCAGCTACGATAATATTCTGTCGATTATACTCATCTTTAAACTGTAATACCTTATTACATATGCTGGCGGATTCTTTTGATTTACAAAATTTTATTGTGTGTACCTTATATTCAAACGTGATATTCATCAAGTATTAATCCATTAAGACCGTGACAACACGGTTATGTTATTGACTTGTCAAAAGCCATATACTAGATATTCTGGGTACATTTGACCGGTTGGCAGGAGGAAATATGTTCACCTTTCACATCTACACCATAGTGCGATACGGAAGTTCAATCCCTTGAGAAACAATTGTGCTATCTCCCATCATCAAAAGCCGCTTGATGACTATCACTCTATCCCTCTCCGTCACATCAGTGATCTCAAAAGTTATGATCCACTGCGCCGTCACCTAAAGCAGAAGAGTCACGTGCGAACCGTCAAAACGGTTTTCGGTCTTACCGACCTACTTGGAGTTTTGTAATCTCAATTTGTTTTAAAACCAGGACGGTAACGGGGACATTCTTGTGGCATGGCTGGACAGGCTTTCCATCTCTTTTGATACGCTAGTTAAGATATCGAAGTTTTGCTTTTCCGCGAAGGCCATATCCTTCCCTCATCGGTCGCAAACTTTCCGTCGACTAGGACAGAATCATGTCTCGTTGTGCACCTCAGAGTTCTGCCCCCCCCCCCTCCTTCATAGGTATGTTCTTTTACCCAATTCTCTACTGATGTTTGCCAATTACCTTTACCCCTCAACTTTTAACTTTTTTCATACCATCGCCCTTAGCGCGTCACTTTCTCCAGTAAGGATGACTGCTTTTCCCTCAGTACCTTCCTTTATTCCGATGTTGGTCATATTCCGCTCTGATGTTGTCTCAATCGGGTCCTGTTTACGAGGGCCAAGTAAAAGTTTCCGGGTACGCAGTACACGTAGGAGGCGCAGATGACTGGGCAAGAGAAACGTGAACTATTATCTAAAGTGATTATTGCTCAGTGATTGCAGCAGCAGCAGCAACAGCAGCAGCAGCAACAGCAGCAGCAGCAACAGCAGCAGCAGCAACAGCAGCAGCAGCAACAACAGCAGCATCAGCAGAAGAAGAAGAAGCGGCAGCAGTAGTGTTGAGTGTTTGCAAGCTGACTATATAAACGACGCACCTTTAAGAAACACTGTGTCTGAGTGATTTACGGCAGGCGGTCTGTGTGAGACAATGTGGTCGACCTGTGGAGGTCAATGCAGCGGAAAAAATTGCTGCTGTGCAAGTGATGTTGGAGAAGGATACGCGAGTGACAGTGGCACAGCTATCAAAACCCATTGGGATATCATCGGGATCAATCCGCACCATCGTACCTGAGAAGCTCGGCGTCAGAAAGACTTGCGCACACCGGAATCTCCATCAGCTCAGTGAGGAACAGAACGCAGTTCGGTGAATTGATGTCGCACCATGCTTGCCGTTTCAATGCGCTTTCTGAAATCATAAGTGGTGATGATACCTGAGTGTACAGTTTCGATCCAGATACCAAGCAACAATCGGCTCAGTGGACGCCGGTTGGTGGGGCGCCGAGCCAGAAATTCCGACGTGAGCGCAGTGTGGTAAACAGATGTTGGCTTTGTTCATGACGAGAACCACTCATGTGACTAATATACTGCTCGTACAGCAGAACGCAGTCACCAAAGACTGGTACACCAGCCACTGCCTGCCGAAAGTGCTGGAAGCTGTTACCAGGGCGTGGTCCGGGGACTCGAGCACGAGAGCCCTTGCTGCATCATGATAACGGACCGGTACACAGGTCCCATATCGTCGGTATCCAAGATGTTGGTCACCCACCCTATAGTCCAGACCGCGCTCCGTGCGACATTTTATGTTCGAAAATGTCAAGCGCATGATGCTTGAAATCCGGTACTAGTCACCCACAGCCGCAGTGAAGGTCTCTATTGAGCCGGTCGAAGGGTGACCCACTATGGCATGGTCGAGCTGTTTTATCGAGTGGTTTGTGCTCATGGAATGGGTGTATGAACGCTGGTGGAGAATACTTCTAGAAAATGTAATGCCTATGTTTTGCGCATCCGGAAACTTTTGCTCAACCCTTGCAGTGTAGGTTAAACTCTCCTTATGTCCATTTCTCTAAAACATTAATCTTTCTCTCCCGAAACAAATTTTGCCTCAGACTTTCTCATTTCTACAGATTCATGCATACTTTTGAGATCAAACTTGTCTCTTTCTCTGTCATAATCATCATAAAGTTAGTTGCCTACCTCTTACACGATGACTTTGAACTTCAGATGTGCAGAGTTGCATCCTGCATCTATTACTATGCTCATATCAAATTTGGTAA